GAACCAAAGACTTACTGGACAATAGGTCGCCTATGCAAGCTGCCTGCTCAGCCTGCATCTCCTCTAAACTCTGTTTTTGATCAGCTGTGTGTTCTGTGTGTTATTTCTAGAGCATCCAGGTTGTAGTGCAGACTAACACAACATACCTTCCATCCCAGAGCCGTGCAGAACTTCATCCAAGTGTGTATTGTTGTTGTGGTCCAGAATCTGTGCTGTGTTTGGTGCAATCTGTTTGATCTGTGTCTAGGTCTGCCACTGCTGTTGCACTGAAATCACCTCAGTTAAAATTTGACGTTTCTGGTCCTTCTCACCAAAACAGCAAAAGAATGGCAAAACTAATTCTATCAGGGAAACATGTTGTAATCAGCCACTGTCTCTATGTATCTCTAAAATATCCCCGTCTCACTAGGTTGTCAGTAGATTGGCTGCCGTGCTACAGATCAGCATTTCAACCTCAATGCTTTGCGTACTCTCCACTACATCACTGAACTAGCTGTTGCCTGAGACTCCGTTTCTATGCAGAGTCTGAAACTGCTCATCTACACTGTTTGTTTTTTTACTTTCTGTGTTTGAAGGCCTCCAAGCAGGCAGGAAAAGCCCTGGTGGCGAAGGCCGCCACTCCTCCTTTTGAGAGCCAACATAATCACCTGCTGCACTGCCTGGAGAAGACCACGGTAAAATCCCTTTTTTTCTGAAACTTAAAAGCTGTGTCCATTGGAAAACGCACAATCACTTTGGCATCTACTATCTTGGTAACAGATTTTAGATCAGTTTAAAATAGCTCACTGTAAAAAATAGTTCCTTTTATGTATAATTGCATCACTTCTGCTGTCTGCTCTGTATCGTCAGTAGCCTGTTACAATGTTACAAATAGAAGCAAAGTGATTTTTTCATCCATGCACAAACTATACAATCATTCATCATTTCATATGCAGCACAAGTTAAATATAGCTTTAAATGGGGCTGTGAAATGTTGAATCCTCTCTCCAGCAACATGCAAAAGATAACATGATTCCGCTGGCCAATAACATTATTTCTTACAAACAAACCAGCATAGTTAATTTTACACTGTCTATCTATACAGTACACGCTATCTATAATTTAGACATGTAAGAGCCCCTTTAATGCTTGGCTGTGACATGCATTTTACACTTGCAGCTCTAAACCATGTACAGAGACATAGAAAGGAAATAGATAGATGATCCTCTCCCCACAGTAAAAGGCTTGCCAGTCGTCTGGGAAAAGCTCCATGAAGGCTTCATGCCATTCAGATGGCAGCACACATATTTACATCAGACCTCTTATGGTGTGCATTATAGATGGGTGTAGAGCAGGAGTGACAGAGAAAGTATAAGAAAGGAGGCTCATTCAGGGCATGGCATCAGTTCCTACGTGGTGTCACTCTGCCCCCTGCTGACAGAACCTGAAACTTACTTGGAGCCTGACCTTCAAGTCATGCTCATTTGTCACAGGGATAACAGTTGTGAATGTTTTCACAGATGGCACTTAATATGGACATCTGGGCCAATATATTTCTATTCCCTTGATGATTCATTTTCCAATTATTAAACAATTTTGCTGTGGATTCTGTTCAGTCTGTTTAGTCTTTACTGTGAAACATCTTTACTCATTATTTAGCAGAGCCAATCATTGATGTAATAGAGTGATTCATGAGCAACAGCACTGAATCCAAATATCCACCATCTTCCTCTGCAGAATCATGAGTTTGTGGACGAGCAGACATTTCAGGCCAACTGCATGGAGATCTCTGTGACGAACAAGTCGGGCTCCCGTTCATCCTCGCTGTCCTCATCTCCACAAGGCCTTAGCTCGTGCTGCTCTCGACGCCACAGGAAGAAGAGCAGCTTCAGCCTGCCCAGCACAAACAACCAGGAGCTCAGCACCATACAGATAAGAGAGAGGCCAGTGGCCAACAGGTAGTCTCCCAGTCTTGCTCCTTTGTCTGTCTCTACGTCTTTGAGTTTCATAAGTGTAGAGTTATTTTCACATCGCACAGTTTGTGTAGAAAGTCTGCCGGGATAAAACTACAGATAGTTTTAGTTTGTTCTGATTGGAAGATATGTGTTTACAACCCAATGCAATGAATGGAAGTTTGTTGGTGGTGCTTAAAGAAAACTTCTGTGTCCCGTTACTCTGCATAATCCAGATATATTGTCGTTTTCAGTTTTATTTTCTACCAAAGAAGCCCCTTCTCTCTGTGAAAACTGTCGAACAGCTTGTTCTGTGGATTATCCCGAGCAAATCTAACACTCTATCTGGAAATAGGTGTTGCTGTTGAATGTAATTTTTCATTGGTGTAAGCAGCACAAATGAAATTCCATATCAGGGCACAGCAGGATTCTCAGAGATGGATATCTCAAGTACTCGCAAGTACTGTAAAACCTAAACTTTCTGTATTTTTTGAAACAACAAAGAGTAAGTGAGAAAACTTGGGTGATACTTAAATACTTGTGTGGAAAATGTCATACAGAGTATTGAGAATGAGTTTGCCTGCAATTACATGCGATAATATTCATTTCTTGTGTGAAACTTAATTTCAAATGCATCAGGACAGCACATACTTTAAACAAACAAGGAAGAATTTATTGTTATTACATGTCGAAAGCAAAAAAAGTTGAATTTTAGATGTACAGTATAGTCAGTCATAACCTTCAGTTTCAAATACACAGTCCTCCTACGCAGTATATTCTCTGTAGAAGTCCAAGAATTGAAATATATCTTAATGAGCAACATGAGCCCAAGCCCATTTATATATTCAGTCTGTACAAAGAACGTGGATATTTCTTAATAGTGGCTTTTATACAGTATAATGTATAAAAGAACTCCTTGTAGTACAGGCTTTGTGTAACACGTTCACAAGGTTAGGCCTTTCACCTTCTTTCATCCTGTGTTTTCTTTTACAGCCGCTCCAGCCTGAATGCCAAACTTGATGAGACTGTGCCCTTGAAATGCGACAAACCTTACATCACTCCATCCATGGTCAGCCTATCTGCCCCCGTGGTGACCTCATCAGACGGGCGCGGTTCAACCACCACCACCGCATACTCTCAAAGCAACATTGTCCGAGTATCTGCCTTGTAGTTGTCATGCCTATAAGATCAGCTTACTGGTCTCAAGAAGCACCAGATGCTGAGGAGAGGGACCACTGAGCATCAACCTGCCATAATCTAGAGGGATTATAAGATAAGCAGAAGCCGGGGTTTTTGAAGTAGTGATCTCATCTGATGTCAAACTCTGCATGGTAATAGAATGATGTGGACGACTGCCTTGGAAATAAATGTGAACCAGCAGATCTTGCACCATTAAGCACAGCAGACCAAGGAATTGTTGGGATTGAGGGATTATCGTTGTTGCCTAAAAAAAACTTTATTTTTGAATATGTAATGTAGTTGTATTTGTTGTCTTCTGATTCAAAGGAGAAAAGGCAGAGGTTAAAGGTCATGCTTGATGGCCTCTGATGACAAAGCACACATTACCTGAGGGCCATCGTTGTGAATATTAAATCGGTCTACTTACACCTTAGAAACATTCACTTCACTCACCACCATCCAGTTAAATAGATTGTTTTGAAACCCCTCAATTAACTGGTTTCTAATAGTCCCCTCACTGTTGTAAATTCAGAAAACATACATCTTCTGGAATGGATAACTGTTGTGAATATTCATTAACTGACTCATTAAGTGGTTGATGTCATCGCTTGATGAGTAAAATATTATACGCATCCTGACATGTTTGTGAAATGTGCAAGTGAAAGTCCAAATGACAAAGTCTTTGTTATCTTTCATATTTGACATTCTGATATGGAGCTATGTTAAAGCCACCTCATCATCAAGCCAAGTCACATTTACAATTGATACTGAAAACTATACAGGGTACATATAAGTTAGGTCACATGGTAGAAATATAAGTGAATGTTTCCGCAACACTTAACTAATACTAACCCTATTGTGGACACATAGTATTGACCTGGAAAACCATATGAAAGAGTGTAGAACATCAATTCCATTGAGTTCCTCTTAAATTATATTATTATATTCATAAGCGAGACTTGGTAGATTTCACTGTGTTAAAGGGCCATTTTGTACATTTTTCATATTGTAAATATCTCAGTTAGAACTTTATCAACTGCATTTGAAGTTGGCTCTTATTTCTAGATTTAGTTGACACTTGTTGGCATACTATTTCTGTCTGTTAACTGGTTGAATTAAGGATTTGCATGCTGTCATTGCAGAATTCTGTTTATTAAAAGTATGTCTCTGCTTCTTGTTTGAGGTTTGTCAGTAAAAATGAGATTGACGGAAGGAAACACAATGAGGTATGTTATGATGTAAATTCTGCAAGCTTTTGCTTTTAATGAAAAACAAATCTTGTCATGGAGTACATATATAAGGGGTAAGGAAAAGGAACACATAATCACACATTGTGCATTTGGTGCAGTGGATAGAATAAATACTGTAGCTCTACTGAAACATCCATTAAAGGACCGTTGTCTTTTCTTTTTACTGGAACACAATTAGGTGGATTTTATAATGGTCTGCCTGATTCCTCGAAGAGCGTCACCCATAACAGGAGGGAATAATAATTAGTTGCTGCTGCAGGACATGTGAAGACCTGACCGGCCCAGTGGTGGGTCTTGACTGCAGGGTCTCTGGAGACAGACATGCAGGCCTCAGTGATTGTTTAACAGAGAACTCCTCCTGCTGAGCTGATTGTGTTGATCCAGGCTGCTTCCCACAACATGCAGTGCTCTGCAGAGTTTAGTAACTGCTGAGAAGTCAGCCAGCTCAACATCTAAGATAAAGCAGTGGCATATAAAATAATAGGCCCAAGGAAAAATTCACACTTTAATGGATTCATTTAGTTAGTATTTGAACAATGACAAGACAAATGTTAACCATTTTAATATTCAGTTACATAGTAAATATTGTGTATGGTCATTTGGTCTAGAGCGACTCAAAGATAGACAGAAGTGGAAATAATCATTTCTTATTGAATATAGATTTAAACCTGATTTTAAGTCTAGAAAACTCTGTCCGGAACTGAGGGTTCACTGCAGCATATATTATTGGGTCACTGAGTGATGTGATGCAAGCAACAGAGACTGACAGAATCTCCACGTCCTGAATGATCGTTGACTGAAAACATAAGAGAAAATTGTTATGAAGACTTACAGAACGTTTAAGCATATCATAGACATATTTACATCTTCACAATTTTATGTTTGCTGATGTCATGACATTTCTGGGACCTAAAAGTGAGGTAATGCGCCAGAAACAGTTGAGAGGCCCTACCATAAACTACAGTGTAAGAACACAATAATTCACCTACTAGAAACAAAAACCTTATCTCACACTTTTTGATAATCAAAATGCATGTAAATGCTGCATCCATAGCTCTACAACCAACCTATAAATGCTTACCTGTGTGTACTTGTTTTTGTGAACAATAAAATTCATCAGGATAGTTGTGATCAATGGCAGCCAGAATAGGACGAAGGTTATAATTATGTAGCCAGCACGCTTAGCCATTTTACTTTCCTTTTTTTTGCGCGCTCTTTCTTTACTTGATTTTGAAGGCATCATGCAAACAGCACCTTCCACTTCTGCATTTTGTTTTGTAGCTTCTGTTTCATGGACATTATTTGAGACTGGAGGTAATGAAGATACTTGATCTACTGAAGCAACTGCCAGTGTTTCACCTTCATTGCTGTTACACTGCATAGCTTGTTTTAGTTCAATCAGTGAAACAGAAGTGGACTCAGTGGACAACAGTGCAGATGATGGAACACGGGTACTGGTTTTAGTCATTTCAAAGGGTGCAGTGTCAAGTTTCACTCTCTCTTTGGACTGCTTTTCTGTGTCAAAATTGCTTGACACCTTCTGCGGCTTTGTGGTTGAGCTCTTAACAGCATCTCCATTAAATGGTTTTGCTTCAACTTTTGTGGCACCGGGGTTGGACTGCTCTGTTTCAAAAGGTTTCTCCTCAGTCTGCACTGCAACCTGCATTGCAGGAGGTTGAGATTGTTCTGTTTCCAAGTCAGTTATCGCCATTGTATTTTTTAACTCTTTATTCTCTGAACCGGTGGAGACACACTGTGGAGCGTTTGTTGAAATCAGTGGAGTAGCCGTAGAATCTTTCTTTGATGAATTTGGTTCAGTTTGTGTTAATAGTTCCACCTGAGCAACATTTTTGCTCAGGGTCTGGTTTTGCTCTGATATTCCATGTCCATTTTCCACAGCTGTGGTTTCTCCGTTTTCCTGCTTATCATCTGTCTTGTGATTTTTTGAAAGATGAAACGTACCTTTGTCAAATATTTTGCGATTGTGCGATCTCACAATGGCAAATATGCGAGCGTAGAATCCAATGATAACACCAAAGCATGCTGCCCAAATGGGAACAACATGTACAATCCAAAGGTGTCATAGGAGGATGATGTCTCTCTCTGTAATCCTTTGCATCTCACATGCACGGGTGAATCCTTCAGAAATATCAGACAAAAAACAGCTACCAGAATAGCCAGGGTCCATGTGACAGGAATCAGTACCATGATACGCCTTCGCCTTTTACTAGTTTTGAAGGGTTGTGCAATGGCCTGGTATCTTTCTTCACTTACACAGGCCAGTGTCAACAGTTGGATGCAGCAGCTGAAAGAGAAAGAAGCCAATTGTGTATCACAGATCAACCTGTCCAAATGTCCTCTTTGATACACAGTCACAATAATGGTTAAGAGAATGGGGCAGTCAATTACACATCGCAGAATGTCTATTACTGCTAGATTCACCACCAGTGCATTATTCAAGGTTTGCAGTGATTTTTGACGATAAACTGCCAGAACCACAAAAACATTTGCTGCAATCCCAACAACAGAGGTGAACAACAGAATCAAGCTGTTTGCCACGACAAAGGCGATGTCAGTGTACTCCTCCCAAATGGTGTTGTTCCCAGAGTTCCATGCAGGTGCGGTCTCGCCTCTCATCTCCCGATTCAAAGAGTCAGCATGTTTAGTTCTGTATCTTCATTCTCTCTCCGCTGACCGAACATACAGTGAGCGTGCTTTCGCTTGTTGGCAAGTGATTCTCCACTGAATGAGTAAGATTAATGGGTGAACCTGCAGCCTGGACAAGTTACGCAAAGTATCCGCCCTTTTCATTATCACTCCACAGCAGCAGCAGGTCACCTGGGAGTCCTCACTGTTCACATTCATTAAATATTGTGCTGTGTATTCACAGCAGAGACTACTGGAAAAAGGATGGTTGTTAAATGAAAAATGGTTAAGTCACTATTGTCTCAGTCCTGACATACGACGAAGCCAATCAGGGGCTCAAAGCTGAAATGTATAATGATGATGGTATGACATTGTGCTGCATATGATATTCATATGTGTTTGGCATGAACAGATGTCCATTTCATTTAATACAGTACCTCACAAAGGTTAAAAGCTTTGCATTAACCGTGCCAGATGGATGACTTGAGAGTTCTTGAATTGGCTCAGGAAATAAAGGGAGCCATGCTGCTGGATTATAGCATGACATTGTGTAATCCTGTTTGGAGATAAACTGTAAAATGCTCTTTGCTTCGAATGTGCAAGCTTATGTACTATGCCAAATCTGGGATTATTTCAACACAATACATTTTACTCCTGACCAGCCTACATGTTAGACTGATCGAATGTCTCTCAAAATCATGTCAACGTGTATGAAACAAAAAACTATTCAACAAACATCTTGGTGGTAACAAGTGACTAAATGTTTTAGCTCACTATAAACCTGACAACAAAATAAGCAACTTTCTAAAATAGAAAGAAAAACACTTTATTTAGAATCAGATTCCCATTTACAATTACATCAATAGTGCCAAACAAGTGGGAGGGAGCAGGACAAAATAAGCAATGAAACAAAAAATCATACTGACTGTTTTTACCAAAGGAACACACCAATCAAAAAGGACTATTCAAAAACATTACAATGGGGGTACTCACCACTAACCGCTTGTGTGTGCACAAAGTGAAGGGCAAACCAATTCAAACTCTCAAGCGCGGATTTACCAAATATCACAATTATTATAGAGAGTAAATTGCTGGATGGAACAAAGTCAGAAGGAGGATTATTGTCCTTAAATTAGGTGTTCATGCCGAGGACAGGACGACAGGATTTCAATCTGGCCAATGAGCGGTGACCAACACAGCAGAAGTAAAAAGTAAAAATTAGCGGGCTTGCGTACACAACAGTGTGTTCAAGGCACCACAGTTTCCGTTGAAATAAACATTTTGCTACATTTTGTTGGCGCTGAACTCGTACCTGGAGAGTTAGTGAACAAGTCAGAGAGAATATTTATTCAATTATTGTGAAAAGTAACTGAATTGATGGTTTAATAAAGATAATCCTATCATTGCTCCCAAAAACAAATGTATAAACCAATAAAAAAAAAAAATCAATGCCACAGAGTAAGGTTTATCAATAAATCACTATATACTGAACAGCGAATTAAATCAAACAGCCAAATATTCATGCAACATCCTGGGTATGAATCAGGTTCAGAGACAGTCATTATGTTGTCCATCTCTGAACTGTCTAATAACCCCCTCTGAACTGTCTATAAAGACTAAAAAACATAGTGCAAAGTCTTTTACTGCCTGACTGACTTTCCATTTACAAATGCACAGTGTGAGGTGTGCAGATGGCTTCCTTAACAGGTGCACCCGAATTTCCCATGATTTTGTGGGTATTGCAGAATTTATTTTTAAACACAGTCTTCTTCTTCTCATGTATCAGGCCAGCTGGACAATCTGAGGGATAGCTTGTTATGTTGATTTGCAGTTTCCCTACCACTGACAAATAAATCCTGTATTCATGTGCAATGCATATCATAATGTGCAGCTTATGAGTACACTTGTTTCTGTATACACTGCAGCGATCTAATATGTTGTGCAGCAGGCTTCTGGGAAGTGTGAGCGGTGGCAAAAGGCAGTCACTTATAGGCAATTATTTGGCATAGCTATCAGTGTTGATGACATGATGGAGTTGGCTATTGTTGACATTGATTTAATTTATTTACATAATACATAGGAGTCATGCAGTATGTGTTTAACTTACAGAAAACAGATAATTTGTTTTCAGACAAAGGCAGACAAGGCCTTGTACTATAAAAAGGGTGGCGCAATCTACTATATATGAATCTGTATTTCATGCCACTATGCATTATTCAGCGGGCTGAAAAGTTAAACATCTAAGTGACTTTCCTTAAGGAAGAGGTATCTTCTCAAACTACATGAAAACAGGTCCAGCGCATATTACTTCTGAACAGAAATTCAGGGATCAAAGGTTTCACTTCCTCACAGTCTCTCTCTGCACTCCGGCTATATTTGACTGGCCCAAGTCTTGTTAAAAATGCATACAAATGGAAAATTACAAAAACATTCACTCCTGTCAGTGTTTTCTGTCCTTTCAAGATCTCCTATACTTTTGGCTAGTTCGCAACATGCATACAGCACACACCAGCAAACACCAATATGAAAAAGGTAACAATCAAAACAAATCACATGAATGAAAAAGATCTTACTGAATACACTTCCAGTTTTGTTCTAGAAATATGGTATGGACAGTGACTACAGGGACACCTTGCAATATAACACAATTCAATAAAATGGCAAAAATAAACAGAAAAATTTTAATTAAAAAAAGTAAGCATGTTTTCTTCAAAATTGTACTGTATTACATTACTATGTGTCATAATTTTTTCCACTTATTTTGTTCACCTTTTGAAAGTCAGCTATCAGTCTGAGCAGATTGTGTTCTCACTGGCCTACACTGAAGACATCTCTGAGAGACACTGATGAGGCACTGACCACTGTGACAGCTCTTTCTTTTTTTTTTGCTGTAGGAAGTCACAGAGGCAACACCTTGCTGCTCAGGGAGCGCATGTTGATGCTGTTGCTGGTGTACCCATGAGGAATGTAGCGCCCGCAGGACAGCACCTCCAGAGCGGCATCCCGGAACTGTTGAACATAAAAACACAGTCAGGAAATCAGTCAGCATCAGTTTTTACATGCAATTCAAATGGTTCTTGCTTCTTTTCTCAGCCTTTGCATCTTAATTTTACAGCAGGTATACACTACAGCTGCTTACCTGCTTGTTGGTAAGGAAGTAGATGATGGGATTATAGACAGGGCTAGTCTTAGCAAAGTACATGGGCATGCTGGCGACCAGTGGAGGGATGTGCAGCTCTGGATCCACCACTACCACCACTGACAACGCTGTGTAGGGCAGCCAGCAAATAAAAAAAGCTATGATCATGGCCAGGACCATACAGGTGGCATGATCATTCTCCTTCTGGCTGGAACGCCCACCCTGGAGCTCCACACTCCTGTTCAGCTACGAGTAGAAAGAAAATTTGACACTCATTAAAAGCTAATAACTTGTTTTAGTCTGTAGGTGGTAAATTGTAAACAAATGAGGGTGGAGGAATTAATTTTATAGCTTGTTCCAATAATATAAAAGTCTAATAAATATCCAGAAGCTATTATGGGCCCACCTTATTCATGGATATGAGCACTTTGGAGTAGCAGTAAATAATGACTGCAACAGGGAAAATGAAGCAGAAGAGTGTGTAGAGGATGAGATAGCTGTAGTTATTCCAAGATCTCTTCTCCCAGGCCAAAGAGCAGGAGGTCTGGACTCCCTCAGGTCCGTAGGAGCTCCAGCCGAATAACGGAACCACAGCCCAAAACAAGCAGAAGATCCAGACGAATAGCAGCCCGAAGACAGCTCTCCGCAAGGTCAGCTTTAGACTAGCTCTTGGCTTACACACAATGTTATACCGCTCATAGGCAAGCAGGGTCAGAGTGCAGAGAGACACCAGACCTAGGAAAGAGAAACAATCAGTTGTCACAGAGAACATTTCCAATATCTCCAGAACAACTGAGCGAACTCCATCCACTGAGAAGACTGTGAGATGTTGCTGAAAGCTCTGGAAAAGGCTACTAAGTATACCTTCAATCACAGTTTGCATCCAAAGTAAAGAATGAACTTCTAGTCAGAAAAAAATCATGAAAGGAACAGGGCATATGCAGAATCTGATAACAGGAAGACATTTTCAAAAAGCATCACACAAAGGCCAACAACGTCAGCATTTCTGTAAAGCTAGATTACATTATGAGTTTAAGTGAAGTGTAACAATAATGCCACTTATTTTAGCCTCACAATTCTGTCTATTGTGTTTACAATAATAGACCACCAGGCACAGAGAAAACAAAATTGATCTAAAACATAGTACTGCTCTCTCACAACTCCACTTACCAAAATAATTGACTGCAAATCCTTGGAAAATGCAGGCTGTGTGCCCAATAAAGTAAGAGCCTTGGTAGTTAGTGATGGTCACGACCAGGGAGCCGCACAGGCCTATCATGATGTCAGACACAGCGAGGCTGAGGATAAAAGTGCTCATAGGCTGGAGGAGGGACGGATTCCTCAGCATCACGGTTATGACGAGACCATTGTTAAAAACTGACAACACTGTGTTGATAAACATGATGTAAGAAAGTATACTGTAGCCCACCCGAGGGAAGATGGTAGGTGCCATGGTCACCAGCTCGGCGTGGAAGGATGAAGGACGAGAGCCTGAGCTCCACAGTGTGCTGTTGCTGTCCATGACATCTAAATGAAGACCAGCATAGGTGGAACAACTGTGAGACTGAACCCACAGACACTATGCTTAGCTCCGGGCACAGCGTCATTGATCTTATCATTTCTGATCCCTGTTAAACAACTCGGCTTCTCTTATTTTCCAAGATCTCAGCAGGCACACCTGTCTGATAGAGAGAGCCCCAAATGCAATTTGAGAAATTGGTCCATAACACAATTAATCCCACTAAATCAAGTGCTATAATGGTAATTGGAAAGTTGAGGGATATTAAGGTGGAATGAAATAGAACTCAAATAATTTTCAAATATTTCTTTGTTTTGTTTATACAGCTAATAG